CTTTTCTAGGTACGTTAGCCTGTGACCACGGAAATTGACCGAGTCAAGTGCTGGATTAGTACGGAGAGATTGAGACAGAAGGAGGTACTGGATAGAGAGACCGGGATGGTTTTTAATGTGAAGACAGCAACAACCATAAATGAAAGAAAGTCTCCACAGTTCGGAAAAGGCGACTATATGTTGTTTGTTATGTTGTTTGATGCATTTGTTGTTGCTGAGCGCACATCGGATGTCGACGTTCGTTACACATGTTTGACAGCCTGCGGTGGGCCACAGGGACGAGAGTGAGTGTCTTCTCGAGAGTTAATGCCTTCTCGACGCTCTCTTCCTTTGGTCTACAGTGTACCTGTCTCTCTCGCGCCTGTAGCCGCTGGGGTCCCAACAACATCGAACGTCGACCGCAACCGTTTTGCCTCTTGCTGAGCAAGAGGCTACCCGTGTACCCGGCTGCTGCATGTGAGGCGATGGGCGATGCCTCTTGACGTGAAGCAATGGGCATGACCCCTACGGATTGCTGCATGCATTCCTATGTGACAACTTCCAGCGGTTCAGAGCGACGACGGTGGCTTTTCTATGCTCTCTTTTGCCACCTCCCGGAAGCCTGTCGCGTCTGGCTCACATGTTCTTGGTCTCTCTTCTTTCGCTTTTTGCCTTTATTTTCATGCTTTGCTTTTTGGGGTCCAAAGGTCACCCACCCACGCAATATTTTAGGAGTTTTTTCCGCGCGCGAAGCGCGCGTGCGAAAATAAAAACGGAGCGATAGCGGAGTTTTGGTTTCGCAATAAAACTGTTTTAGATGGGTCCTATTGTTTCCCCGCCTGGGTTCTGCGCACGTTGAATAACACCGCCTGTGAGCCCGACCTCTGAATTAATTACTGTTCTCAAATTGATGTCCATGTTGTTTGTTGTTGTTGTTGTTTCTCACATTAGCTCTAACAAAAAAAAAGATTGGGAGCCCGTGGTCTCAAAACCCGGCATACACGACCCACCCCACGAAGAAACAGAAAAAAATAGGGTACAAAAACCACTCGGAAGAGAAACAAAATGATAGAAAGAAAGACCAGCTACCGCACCAAACGAGAAAGAGCGTCGAGGAGNGAAAAAAATAGGGTACAAAAACCACTCGGAAGAGAAACAAAATGATAGAAAGAAAGACCAGCTACCGCACCAAACGAGAAAGAGCGTCGAGGAGACCGATCAAAATAAAATAAAAGGAGAACGGGGAACGCTTCCCACACCCGTGTGTGTGTGTGTGTTTTTATTATTAGCATCGACCGCGCTGACCGGCTGACCAATTAAAAAACGTCAGTGCCAGCGGGTAAAAATCAAGGTCCCTGGAAGGGGGCCA